CTCCCCTTAATTCGAAAATCTCTATTTTCAGGCACACGCTCATATAAATTTGACTTTTGAATAATTGTAATAAATCTGATAAATCAAATGAGTGTTCAGTTGCTTTTAATACTTAATATATTATATTTAAGAGCATTTAAAAAGCAAATTTTTGCAATATTTAAATTTTTTAAGCCCAAATCTTGATAGTTGAAAATATTTGATTTAAACGTCAAAATTAAACAATCAAATTTCAATATTAAAATTGCCATAGTTTCTATAATATATATACTATGGCCATGAAACTTGGCCAACTGTCTTATAATTCCTTAAGCTTAGGTTATGCAAAGTTTTATTAGAATTGGTCAAGTCGTTCTATACTATTAGGTCCGTCCGAGGACACATTTATCGTCCTTAGATTTTCGTTGTCTACAAATATAGTGCCTAGTGTGGAAAGTGTATAACTTGCAATTTTTTTTCATACACTTTCCAAATTTATTTCTTGATATTTTATGCAGGAAATATTAAGTAAGGGGATGAAATTACATGTTAAAAAAATTTGGGTGCTGAATCTTTATGTTAAGTAGTGATTTGGTCCAGTTAAAAAAGGTCAAAAACTAGAATGTCTGAAGCTGTCAAACTGAATTTTAAACCCCCTTTACATAGAATTGTCAATATTTTGAGTTAGAGCTGGTAGACTTTTCTATAATTTTGATATTATTTGTCCCAATAGTAGTACACTACACTGTAAAAATCTTTTTGAGATAGAGCAGGTGCGATGTTTTTAATTTGACTTCATTGTCTAAAAGAAATGCACTACGAAATAACTGTGTTCTCGGGCCAACTGCTCGAAATAAAATGACGAAAATTTATTATTGTTTTTCCCGTCATTACATACACTCATGAGATTGGTTGATATAAGTTCTTTTGACCGTTGCACCTCTCGTGCCACTAATATCGAATCCATTCTTAAACCGCATTTAAAATGTTTAAGAAAGGGTGTATACTTATTCAAATTTAAATGATCTAACCAAATATAAGGTTGTTATTTTAGGGTGCCCAATCAAAAATATACTTTAAAGTTGAAAAACAAAACAAGTAAAATCAAGAAGTTTACAAAATATACTAATTTTGTCATCGTTTTCCATAGTAACTAATCAAATGTGAATTTAGGATTTTTTTCTTAACTGCTTTTACCTTAGTTATGTTAGGACAAAGTTAAGACCGTGTATGGTAAAAAAAGTTTGCACTACATTTTGGACTAGAGGCACATATTATATTCCATCATCCAGCATTCGTCAGGCAATAGTTTGAATAGGTGTGTTATATATATACGGCCATCGACCCCATTATGTCATACTCGAATGATTGGATACAAACACGTTAGTGTGACTTCCTTGTATTCTAATGAGGTACTTAATCTTTGACACTTGGCAAAGTAAGTAATCCTTTATCGTTATCATTTTTGCATTTATCAACAACGTAACTGAAAGCGAGACATTTTTTTTTTCTTTTACATGTTTTTATTCACGGTTTTTCACCAGTTGATGCAAATCTCTATGAGATCCTAGCGGACATCTTATTCTTTTCGTTAAACGGACAAGTGTTGATCGAATACTGCCAATTTCATGATTTTTGTGAAAACATGTAAGATATAATAAAAAGACGACCATTTGATTTTTTGCGAAGCCGAGAAAAAAAAATAAGCAGCATAGAAACAGATTAAAATGAATATTCGCTCCACCGAAAAATCCTCCTGCCTCCTGGAATATCAAGTTAAAAAGAAGAACAAAGAAATATAAATCAAGTGCTTGCAATGGTGATAACATGGGAAGGAAACTATTTCAAGGGTTGAATGACATTCGTGATTCGTGTTAATTGACATTTTTGGAATATGCACAATTTATAACGAAAACAGAATTACTTACTTTGCGAAGTGTTCAATATTAAGTACTTCCTTTTCATACCAGGAAGTCGAACTAACACGTCTGTTTTCGTATTACTTGAGTATAAATCAGGTTATAATAAAAATCTAGATTAGTATTGACGGGATGCGTTTTTTTTTTTTTTTTTTTTTTGTTTTTTTTTGTTTTTTGTTTTTTATGAAAACCTCTAGCAAAATGAAAGCATAATAGATATACATAAATCAAATTTGACTCGGTGGTATTTTATAAACATGATAAAGTGATGAGCTGAAATGAATTTCAAAGAATATTAAACATATTAAAACGTGGTTGTCTTAATGTTTGTATTGTTTTTGCAGTCTTTAGTGTGATTGTCGGGCTACAGTATGACAGTAAAAGTTTGATTTCTTTGCCGGATAATTGATATTACTCCATGGTTTTTTTATTCTTCAATTCACAGGTGTGGCGTGATCGTCAGTTTGCAAAGAATTACTCTCAAACCGGTGATAGGGGCCGTCTAAAACTTGCAATGAGGTGAGAGTGTTTGCTCCGTGTTGAAGTCCTCACTTTGACTTTGAGATGAAGAACAGCTATAAAGGCGCTGTTCCTTTGCTTTTTGTGTTTTTTACTGTGCATGTACTGATTTTGTGACGGGGATAGATAACCCATATCCTTTTTTTTTTATTTAGCATACACTGCCAATTAAAGACATATATGTATTTGGCACACACAAAGTTTAAAAAATGCCCTAAATCGTGTGTCTTGGCCAGATTAAGCTTGTTACCAAACAGCAAGACTCGTTGATTTGAAGGTCTAAAAGAGAAACAGATATTTAGCCTGAACGTGACTTTGGCAAAAAATAGCCAACTATCTGCAAGCATGGAAATAACCAAGAATATCAAAGATGTATCAATACAAATAGTATAAGACATCGAACGTTTATCTTTTGTAGGAGAACGGTTTTTTTCAATCAGGTGTCTTAAAAAAATGTTTTAGAAGGGAGTGTGAAAAAAAAATATATTGATTCTTTTTAAAAACTAGAAAAAATGAAAAAGTTGTAATTTGAAAACAATGTAGTGACTGTATGTTATTGAAAACACAAACTAGCCGGCACGGTATAGCCAATGGTACTGAAAATGGCGTTAAACACCAAAAATCAACCAATCAATCTGGAGTTTCCAATTGCAATAAAGGCAATGTCAGTTTTGACATACCAATACACGGTTTTATATATGATTTTCAGTTTTATATATCTATATTTCCAGAAATTTGTCTCCGTTAGTTTATTAATGTAATGGCCATAAAATAAAGTAAAAAGTATAAATAATCAAATAATTTCGAAGCCATCATTACAAATACAAAGCTAACATGATTAAGAGTAATGGAAACATTAATACTATAAGCATTTGCTGAGACTTCGATAAAACCTGGGAGCTACTAAAACAACCTTGACTAGTACTATTCTCGAGAAAAAAAAAACCGGACTTATTAAAGTTGAGGTTTCCCAAAATATCCTTTTTCATTCAATAACAAGTATTTCAGAAAGGTGTCTGAAAAAGTTAAGAGGGAAAGATTCTGGAAATTCTTTTCCATTAATGTTTGATTTCATATACGCATATGAAGGGCTGTATTTTAAATCAGGCCTTTGGTTTTCTAGTTTGAATAGTTTCACTTTTTGGTAATGTCAGGGCCATTTAAAGCTGAATATACAGTTTGGGGTTTGCTCATTGTTGACGGCCTGTATTAATTTTGCTTACATGCATGTCATTTGGACTCTGGTGGATAGTTGTGTCATTAGCACTCATACCACATCTTTTTATTTCTATTTTCATTATGTTTATTAAAAACACATTTTGCAAAAGATCATGTCAAGTATAACAACAAAAACGTTACTGTAATTTGAACCGCAACGCCTTTTCACTTTATTCTAAATGTAAAACAGAATTTTGAATGGTTTTATATTAATCATTTTTGGGGCCCTTCATAGCTTGCTTTTCGGTGTGAGCCAAAGCTCCGTGTTGAAGGCCGTACTTTGACCTATAATGGTTTACTTTTACAAATTGTGACTTGGATGGAGAGTTGTCTCATTGGCACTCATACCACATCTTCTTTTATTATACTTCACGTTAAAATGCCATATTTTGAAAGGCTAATACGAGGGTGTTAACTTACTATATTACCCTTCATGGAGACGCTTGATCAAGTGTGCGCTTTATTAAATACGACTCTATCCTATGGCAAATACTCTTTTGCCCTTTAAGGAGGCGCTTGATCAAGTGTGCGCTTTATTAAATACGGATGGTTGTTATGTACAAGACGTCGTCATAGTTTATTACTTTGAATTTGAAATTTAATCGACAGTAATAACAGAACATTCAGTATAATAAATTAAATAACACATATCTGAGAGGGTAATAGAGCAGATTGTTACCCCTCGAAAACACATTGTCAACCTTGGTTTCTCCTCAGTTGACAATGTTTTCTCGGGGTAACACTCTGCTCTATTACCCTCTCAGCTATTTATTATTTATATAATATCCAAATACATACTTCCCGAAGCGCCCCAAAGTTTACAGTGGTGCGTGATAGTAACCGTCGGGTCTTACAAAACATGTTTGGTTGTACGGAGTGATATAAAATACAAAATGTATATGTTTTGGACATACAACAGGAAAAGAAGAAAATGTATTAAAGAGCTATAGAGAACAAGATCGTAACCCCACAATCACCCTAGACAGTGTGGATGCATAACCTTTTTCTGTTATCACATATACACATGCAAACAATTGATCTTAGATGGAGTTTCATTAACAATCTGAAATTTTAGAAGTGTTGCAGAATTGTCGGCTTTCGTAGTTCTTAAATGTATTCTGAACTTGGAAGTCAATCAAATTATGTGTTTTGGTCTTATGGTGATACTGTTAACACGGATACACATAATGGGGAATTGTTAGAAATTGTTTGGTTAAGAGATGGCAGCAAGAATCAACGTCTGATTAGCCAGTTATCAGAGACCCCACATCGGTGGCAACAAGTACAGTTACATGATGTACAGTAAACATCTTTTCTTGAAAGTATTTCCCGTTATAAATAGCATTTTTGGAAAGTTTGTTTTTAAGTGACCACTTCAGTTGATCTCATATATAAATGTAACTAGCGCAGTTGAAATTATATTCGGTATTACATTTAACTGTTTTATTTGAATGTAAAACATTTCTAAGGTAAGACTTATATTGTACACTAGCGAAAAGGGGGATGTTTGATAAGGATTACTTTTCAATGCATACTTTTATTCAATATGCAATTTGGGGGAAAATGATATGTCGTTTGTTTTTTTTTTTTTTTTTTTTTTTATTGTTTTTTTTTCATTGGTTTTGTGTTGTTGGGTTTCTGTGTTATTGACGTATACTTCAAATCTTCTTTTATTCTCGTTTATGATGCTTAATTATACGTATAAACTTTATCACACAAAGAATACACACTAAAAAATCAAGCAAATTTACGGCAGAATCGACGTACTATTTTTCAAATTCAGTGTAATTTGGTTCTTTTGAAAGAGATGACATACTGCACTAAGTCTTTTAATTTCTAAATTTACATCTTTCATTCACTAGAAACGAATTTAGGAGGGTCCGAAGCACCAATTTCATTATATGAACGACTTATTGAACCAGTATTTTCATATTGCAGAAATACACCATGAATTCTTTACATCTCAAGTTGGCTTTCTTCGTATTGACCTTCATATCAATAGTAAGTATACATACTATTTAAGGGCATACGATACAGTTACAACTTACATGAGAGGTCATAACGTTGCTACTGTAAAATGTTATTTTTCGCGACGTCAATCTGTGACATATCGGATGTAGATGATTTCTCGACTGATTTTCACCACTAGCTTGAAAACGAGTGCATGGACCCCTCTTTTTGAAAATGACATTTGGCTTGATTATGTATGAAGATTAATTTTACCAATTTTTATGAACAAATCAACGATGATTTGTTGTTAAATTAGATAAATATACAGCAAGAGATGCCTTTTTTTCTAAAATTATGAAAATTTAATAAAAATGAACTATTTCCATGATATTGTTTACACATATTTAAAGCACTACTTATGTAAAGAAGATATTTCAAATTCTTTTACAAAAAACGCTTGTGTTTTTCTTTTGAAACAAAAAAAAAATAGGTATGTCTGTCCACAGGAAATATCAAATAAATGAAAATTTAAGTAAATGTCTAAAATGTCGACCCCATTCATCTCTTAAAGTAGCACATGAAGGTATATTTTTTATTTATTATTTAAATTGACTAGGTGAAAAATAGCTTCTGTTCGCCAAAAATTCATGGTGGGAATAAAAACTGTATCGTATGCGCTTAAAGTCAAGTTACAGTAAATAGGCTTTATTACCAATTTTCTTAAAATTTTGGCTCGTTGAACTCTAACTGAAAATCAAAAACATAATGCATTTATCTTTCTTTTTCTCTGAAATATTACTAATTGAATTTTTTTCAAAATAGGTGAAGATTTGTATAGAAAGCACAAAAAAACTTCGGAAAACGTTCTTAAATTAGTCTTAAAATCATAAAACTTCTAATTTTTAATCCATAGATTGTTCTTAAAAACTATATGCTGCTGGTACAGAATTTTTTTTTTCATGATGTAAAAATAATTTAGTCTCCGACTTCGTTTTAACGGTATGCATCATTCAAAGTGGCGTGCTAGGTGAAAAAATGCCACAAAACGTCAAAATAATTTTAACTTCATCGCGTCAGATTTTTGTCTAAAATTTTTTTATAAAAAAGAAAAATAATTGCGGCCCCTTAGAAGCGATAAATTTCCAAAATTGTCATCCCAAAAAACCCTAGTTGTTCACCTTTTCAACGAACCATCATTGTATATTACTATATTGATTCAAAGTTGGTGTAATATCAGATCAGAAAACTACAGAAAAAAGGTGGGGGCGTGCAGTTTTATTCCTATTTTGTACATGTATTCCAGGGAAAAAAGTTTATAATGATACCGTATTATGATAATTAAAAGAGTAGGACATATTTAACCAATACCTCTGGCTACTTTTATGTAATAGCGAGCAAATTTTAACTCTGCTTTCCAAACTATATGCCGTCGTATTTTTTGTTCGTCATATGATGTAGATAGGCAAATAATGAGGTTTGTGTGCAGGTAAACAGGTTCTACCGCACCACGTTGTGTGCAGGTAAACTGGTTCATCCGCACCACGTTGTGTGCTCGTACAAATTTGGCCTAGTATCTGGACCACGAAAAAATGTTCGTTGTTGTTAATTTTGGGAATTTTTGTTTTCGGATTAGTCGGGCGTCTGTAGTTAGTATTTTTTGTGTTTCCTGTTCTCTTTTTTAAGCATTATTTTAATTTTTTGCTGTAGATATACGGATGCCGACTAAGGCAACATTGAAAAACAAACATTTATCGTAATTACGGCATACCGTATAGACAAAAAAGACGAACTGGAACTTTTTTATGGGCATACATGTAACAATTTTATATTTCAAAAACTGAACTGTTAACTTTTCTGGTAAATCAAAAACCTATATAAAGATATTTACAATTTTAAATATGAGTTGAGGCTTTTTATACGCGTTTTACATGTATTATCTTCAAAGATCTTCTTAAATGACACGAACCTGTTACCACAGATTCTGCAGAAAGCACACAGCATTTAATGTTAGATAGAAGTGATGGGAATTTTGTTTTCTGTTGTTGTGATCTGTAGCAAAGTGCTGAAGGAAAAGAAAATGGGTTGACTTTAAAAGTGCAAAAAGTAAATAATCTTACTATGACACTCTCACTGATAAGTACAACGGCGACGAGTTTTTTTTATATATAACTTTAAGGAGTTTACAAAATTATCCCTGTTCCCTGCTTTAGGATCACTATCTGACATGTTTTTTTTGTTGCTTTTTTTTGTTTTTTTGTTTTTTTGTTTGTTTTGTTTTGTTTTGTTTTTTTTTTTTTTGGGGGGGGGGGGGTCGGAAGAAAAAGGACATACCCCTTAAAGTTATATGGTTGACCTCTTATTAAATAATCTTTTCTTCTATTGCAGCAACTGTGTTCGAATAACCCGCCTTTAGCTGAAGGTAATGTGTGGAAGACTCTGAGACGAGTTTTAAGACCCACGTGTGCAGGTTGTGCAGGAATTTGTGAAAGAAAAGTCCGAGGACGTTGCCAGTGTAGAGTCGATCGCGTTTGTATGAGGAACCGAAACAGGAACAGATACAGAGGGCGCTAACTATTAATATGATTTAATTGTTTATGCAGCTTTACAATTCTTTTGTTTTTTTAATTAAACTTTTCTCTTTACTGAATTTCCAAATTACTAATAATTTATAGAATACCAGGAAATGTGGGGTAACGTCAAGTACTCAACATCAGTGACAGTTAAAATTCGCCTGTTCAATAAACTAGCGACAAGTGTGTATAGTAAGCTTTTCAATCGCCCTAAGTATAGGTGTACTGTGTTGTGAATATGATCAAAACAGACAACCAAATAACCATGATAACTGACTTCCACATCAAATTTTCAATCGAAAACATGGAGAATGACAGCATGATTTTGTGCAGACAAACTAACATGAGTCGAGGCACTCAATCTTCCCTATTGTATTTCTCAAGGTCTCATAATTAGGTTCCTCTTTCGTTAGCATTTTAGTGGTAGTAATAAATAAACAGTTACATGTACAGTTGATATTAAACCAGAAAATGTAAAATTATATACGCATTACAGAAAAACAACACACAAAAACAGTAAAGATCCGAAAATAATTATAATTTTCCTTTACTTTAAACAGATTATATACCTGGATTCGAAACACTTTTTTTCGTCCTTGTATCTGTCAAGTCTCTTTTTTGTGTCATGGCAGTACTTTGTTGTTGTAGTTACTTTTGAAGTACAAATAAAAGCAACAGCAATTTATCGATGTTTAAATCTCGTGAAATACCGAGGGAAACACGTGAAATCTAAACAAAGCAAGACCAGGTGCCCCAACAGGGTAAGCGTTTCCTGATATCAACCACTCAATAAAATTGTTCAGTTCGAATCAATTACGTTGCGTTTTATTGAAATCTGGATACCAAGACGATTTAATGGTTTTAGTAGAAATCAATAGAATTCACTTTTATCTAAATCTACTTTATAATGAAATAAATGAATATTGACCATCATGGATTACGGAATGTTAGGGAGCTGCCATTTGATTTTTATGGGGGGAGCTAGGATGAAAATTTTGTCCTGCATTTTTTTTAGTTGTAATCTCTGTCCTGCCTTTTTATTTTTCACTCTATTTGGTCCTGCCTTTTTTATTATAAGTTTTTCCTGACCTTTTTTTTTTTTACATAAATTGTATTCCTGCCTATTTTTTGCCAAGTTACTAGTCCTGCCCTTTTTTTTACTCAAAACTCGTGTCCTGCCTTTATTTCAAATTTCATCCTAGCCCCCGCTATTTTGTATCAATGGTCATCGGGTTGTATAAGCTTATGTCCTTATAATGGCACAATCATTTCACTTTTTTGCGCATTTTGAAGATTGAAATAGCCCCTAAAGCTCCAAAACCATGTCTTTCTTTCCTTATCATATAAATGCCGTAAAGTTATCGCTTGGCGTGCAGTTGAGATAAAAAGCAAATCAATAGCTCTCTATAATCAGTGTATACATTGTTTCTATGGGTTATAAAGGGGCACTAGCTGTCAAATTCATGTTCACCGATTTGACTCAAATTCTCATATTTGATTTATAACCATGTATAACATTTATCCAAATTATAAAAAGTCTAAAATAAACTATTTACAGGGCATTGGCTCGATAATATGTAGCTCTGCTTCGTGTGTATTTTAGTTTTGACGCCAGTCTTGCAAGTGAATAATTCATCATCATTGTTTCTTAGCTATTTTGACAAAATTGAACCAAACTGGATGCTAAAAGCGAATTATTATTTCACTATTTCACTATCATTAATGATTGAACAAAAAAAATCATACTTTAGATTTTTTATATATCTCGTAGCTAGTGCCCCTTTAACCATTTTCTAAGAGAAGTCTGTATTATGGACCGTTCATAGGCATATTACTGTTGAAATCTTTTATGAAAAGTACTGAACAATGCTGAATTTGTTTTTCAGTACCAATATTATTAAAATGATTTTGTATAATTAAAGCTACTTTCAATATTTAAAAAATGATAATTAACAAGATTCTTTAATTCTATAAAGAAACATGTTTTCTTCAATGATGTAAGCAATTTAATTTTTCCCTTAATATTTCAGTTTTTATTTAGTCTGAATGATAGATTTTTACACATAGGATTAATCCATTTCGGCAATATTATTTGGGAGGCTTTCTTATTCTTTTCCTATTTAAATGATTGTTTCAATTTGTCCTGAATATACAATTAATTTACCAATAATTATTTTTTCTTCGTATGAATTGCCATAATTTGTTTGTTACATGACATTCATTCAGTGGTAGGTGTTTAGGCATAATCAGAACGAATATATTCGACGTCATTTTACCAAATTTAGTGGAAACGAAAGTGTATGGTATTTTAATACACGACTTTGCTCTTCTTCATCAGAAAGTCAAGGTGAGATAAAACGCATTTTAGATATCAAATTAAAGAATAAAACTGTGTTAAACAGTTCACCGATGTTGATGGTAAATTATTTAAACCTTTTTGCATATGTTCAAGGTAATTTTCTTCTTGGAATTAATTTTCTGCAGTATTCACGTTTCTTGCATTTGCCTTTATACTATTGTTCAGACTTGTCAAATGTCAATTTTGAGTTTATACAAATATGTTATATACATTGTCGCGATCATAGAGGTAAAACCGTGACAGTATGGACAACAGCAATACGTATCTTGTTAATAATACTGAATCATTTACCTTTAACTTCTTTGTCATCGGCTATCGATAACAATGATTTTAAGCTCACACAGTCTGTCAGAGGCCTTCCAGTGGGGATTTAGATAATCACTTGTTACACATTTCGAAAGTTTTTTTTTCACAAAACTTTAAATGAATTATTCTTTATATCAGCACACCGAACAGTTTCAATTTAAAGAATGATAAATGTTCAGAGCTAATATATTTTAAAAATACATTTACACATGAGGTTATTTTACCAACTATTGTACGAATGATGTTAATGTTGTAATATGCCTTAAAGGTGTATTGCTTTTGGAAATAAAGTATTATTATTATAATGTTAAACATCCATGAATATAATATCTAATTTTATACAAATTTAAACATATGGATCTTTACCAATTCAAATGTGTAGAAACATTTGCACTCTTTATATCACAGAAGAGCTCTGTCAACACTGCAATAGATCTAAGTTTTTTTCCCATGATAAGCATGGAAAGGTCGTTACAAAAAAAAAAAGAAAAAAGAAAAAGAAAAGAGAGTTATTCTTTTTTTCTAACTTCGTCATATATATATATATATATATTAAGTTATAACAAAGTCAACATTCATTAAATTATACGATAACTTTTACATTTATTTTTCAAGCTGACACATTTACCAGTTACCAGGTGGTTTGAAAAAGTTCTTATATGTGATTGAAGGACTTGTGTTGTATGCGCACTGATAGGTAAACCATGTAACCCTGAAAAGAGAAATCTTGATCTGATATAGAAAATTGATTTTAAACGTGAAATATTACTGCTAAAGCGACAGTTATATGTCCCCCAAAATTCAGTCGTGCGTAAATTTAAAGCCATTTAGGTAATTTGATTCAGTTCACTTTCAGTGTTTTGAAAAGATCCTACAAATCATTCTTTCTGATGAAGGTAAATCCAGAAAAGCTCTTTGAACGCACGAAATTATCTAACGTGTTGTTTTCATTTTTTACAACACTGGGTCGATACCTCTGCTGGTGGACCACCAGTCCCCGAGAGTATCATCAGCATAGTAGTCAGTACGTCGGTGCTGACATGATTTATAACGAACCTTTCTAAGGGAGCTACCATTTGATTTTTATTTTTTTTTTAAAGTTTATCCTGACTTTTTTTTAACTAAATTGTCATCCCCACTTTTTTTTTGCAAGTGTCTCATCCTGCCTTTTTTTTTACTCAAAACTCCTGTCCTGACTATTTTTTTCAAATTTCATCCTAGCCCCCTCCCCATAAAAATCAAATGGTAGCTCCCTAAAATTGCCCGTTTATAAATTTTGGAATTATAGATGGATTTGGGTATTTTTTAGGTATTTGTTTGTCATATAGCTCTACAACTGTTTCGGTTCATATACATTCTAGGCTCTCAAATTTTCGGCTTTGAGCGTTCCTAATTAAGGTAAATTCAGAAAGGGCTTCATACGCATGAAATTATTTAACGTGTTGTTTTCATTTATTATTGTATTCTTATTCTACGATTTCGGACGTACGTTTATCGGCTCTATCTTTTTTGTGTTCATTTTGAAACGATAGGTAACATTAATGAAGCCTCTATACTATTTTCCTTTTTTTGATGTAATGATATTTCAGTAACAATGGCTTATATATCTTCAGTAGTCGATTAATGTTTACTTCTGCAAGTTGGATTCTAGATTGTTTTAATCATTTACAAGGAGAATGCCAAAAATAGACGGGCGAGAACCAACCATCGGACCCCTGGTTCAATTTGCAGTTACGGTTAGAGCTACTGAAAATTTTAGGTATGTGTATGGTTAAGGTTAAGGTTTAGAATAAACTCATCATAGATGACAGGATTTGTCCACAAAAGACTCACGTTCAAATAAAAAAAAGTTAAAAAGGCTAAATAAAGTACGAAGTTGAAGAGCATTGAGGACCCAAAAAGGTATTGCCAAATACAGCTAAGGTAATCCTTCCCTGTGTTAGGGTCTGCTTAGTATAGCTTTGTATGGGTTGCGACCCCTGGAGTAAAAGAATGTTAAACTATACTCCAGGTTTAAACTTGAGTTACATAATGTGCTAATACTTCACGACTCTTCTTACGCTTAGAACATACCGTTTATACATGTAATATATATTTAGAGAACACAAGGAATTGATAAAAACCTTGAATTATTTATTATAAATACATATAGTTTTGTAAAACTAGAGTTATCATTCTTTTCACTAACAGATATATCGGATATTTAAGAGGCCTGAACGATTGTGACTACGTTTATACAAACCCGCCATCAGGAGACCAAGATGTGGTGATGAACTTCCCTTTATCTACTCTAAAAATTCGTCCTTGTGGAACCATGGCATTATAATCAAGTCTGCAATCTTTTAGGGAGTACTGTATACCTAAAGAAAGTTCAATTTAATTAAAGAACTAAAATGTTTAAACATAAAAATTGATGCGGAACTTGACTTTCACTACATGATTTCATGGTATCTTTAGCTGTTTTAACTCCTTTTTGGTAATGCTACCCTTAAACACATTTGGTTCTTTAAACTCTTGGAATTCAGTTTCAACATTCCTTGTGATCGTTTATCCATTAAAGTGTTTCCAAAAAAGCAAATTTCAAAAAAATAATTTTGACTTATTCTGCATTATGTAATATATGCTCGGAATGATTTGTTCATTCCAATAAAAAAAAAATGTTTTCCTCGAGACTGCATTATAGCCTGCTGGTAAATGGTTGTGCCGTACAAAATCTTGTCAAAAAAAATAATTTACATTTATACCATGTGATTTTCTTATTTTATGTATTCAGTCTATTGACGTCAGTCCAATTGGTTGCAGTTTTATATCAAGCATTAGACTTTCTTTCCCTGACGTGTAAAATACAATTTCTATGACATTTCTATGACATTTGTTGTTTTCAATTTTTTTCATGAAAATTAGGCCGACCGTACGAGACCCCCATTGGTGGTCAAGGTCGTTAAACAACAAGGTTTGCAAAAACACATGAAATGTAAATTTCAAGCACAATAATAAACCCTTAAACACTCGCGTAATACATGTGCCGAAATGTTTGATAGCATTTCATCCCGTTCCCGTCTATACAAAATACAATTCCAATTCATGCTTTTGACATCCAGACTGAAATATTGAACATTCTTGTATAATTGATAGCTTCATGATAACTTTGTGTTCCATTCCAGTTGTTGTACTATGTATGAAACTATTACTCTTTAGATAAAACTGTTACAGGAAACAGGTTTGAGTATCTTTCAATGATTATATAAATAACACATAGCTGAGAGGGTGATAGAGCAGATTGTTACCCCGAGAAAGCATTGTCAACTGAGGCTAAGCCAAGGTTGACAATGTCTTTTCGAGGGGTAACAATCTGCTCTATCACCCTCTCAAATATGTGTTATTTAATTTATTATACTGAATGTTCTGTTATTACTGTCGATTAAATTTCAAATTCAAAGTAATAAACTATGACGTCTTGTACATAACAACCATCCGTATTTAATAAAGTGCACACTTGATCAAGCGTCTCCGTGAAGGGTAATAGAGTATTTACCATAAAGTAGAGTAAATTAACACCCTCATATAAGCCAATCAAAATATTGCATTTTTACGTGAAGTATAATAAATTTAAATATACAAATATGTAAATGGTTTTGGAGGCTTGACTTGTTCGCCTTTATAATGTACAAGATCATTTATGTATACTCAATATAAAACTTGCTGACCCGTAAATTCCGTTTCAGATCTTAATTGATTGAGTTTGACGTACTTGGAAATTAATGGTAGACATATCCTGATAATTTTAAAGACCAAACATCCAAAATATCACCAGATTTCTAGAACCAGTTTTCAACGTTTGGTGTCATAGTCCTACAACAAATCATTAGTTTGTTGAACACTAGCGTCTCGTCGACTATGGTAGCTTGAATGTTCTCAATATATTTGTAGCGAGAAAATATCATCTTACAAAAAATTTACATGTTCGATAACATTGCAAGAACATATCCGTCTACCAATAATCTTGTTTTACTGAACATCAAGTGAATGGGATCGTTCCCATGTCATTAGAATACGTGAAGGAATGAAATAAATTGATTTATAATACGTCATGTCAAAATGCCAGATTTTGATTGGTTAATACGAGGGAGACAATTTTCTCTATCCCATGGCAAATTACCATTCACGGAGACGCTTGCTCGAGTGTGCGCTTTAACAAACACGGATGATTGTTATGTACAAGACAACATAGTTTATTACTTTGAATTTGAAATTTAATTGACAGAACATTCAGTATAATAGATTAAATAACACATAGCTGAGAGGGTGATAGAGCAGATTGTTACCCCTCGAAAAGACATTGTCAACCTTGGCTTCACCTCAGTAGACAATGTTTTCTCGGGGAAACAATCTGCTTTATTACCAGCTATGTGTTATTTATACATTGATGTATGCATGTCTGTTAATAAGAATATTATATATTTACCTTGCTCTCTACAACATTTCATCATACGTTTCAAACCAAGGAGGAACCAGCCACTAAAGTAACCATATTTAGGACACTGGAAAAAATTGCTCACCGTGGAATCTTCCAAAATAAAACGTCAAATATAATACATATCTTTTTGAGCCGCAAATATAAAAAAATGTTAAAAATCAGGAAACTATATATTGACCTAAAATAGGAACCAAAGATGCACTTTATTCATTGTATACTGGTAACATTTCAAAAACAATTTTGTTTTAGGACTAATCGCCGATTCTTCTATTGTAAAAAATATATTTATTATATAATATTAAAATTTAGAAACCAGGAAGTCTTATATAATATTAATTATCACTATCATTACTTTGCAAAAATAAGAATATGGAGTTACTAGACTGGTGAACAAAGTTTTTTTCTTTCATTTACTCTTTATCTCAATAATTATAGTTTAATTATTCATTTGCAGATTTTCTTTTTACAATTTACTATACATTCAATTTTCAAAGTTGAAATCGTAAATTCATATTGAAGTATTCGTCTAAATCAAATACTTACGGAATATTTTGCACCTAACATTTTTACCAGGCCCAGGTCCAGGTTTGCATGTGAATCGATCTTGATCTGGAAAAACTTGATCTGGAACATTGCCATCTGGACACATTTGTATCTTTTTATAAGGTCTCATCAGGACTCTAGTTCCATTTGCACTTTCGGCAAAAAGTATTGCCAAAAGCGCAAATATTAAACCTTTATCGGTAAAAGAAAATATCAGTTTTTCAAGAACTATGAATCGTGAAAAAAGTTACAAATTCAGACAATATTGGCAGATTTTGCTGAAGAGACGTCAAACAGTCATGGCCGTGCTGTTGAAAGCACATGCTGGGAGTATTCTAACTCTCCGATGTTGGAAAGTCAAACATGCTAAACGTTTTTAGTAATAACCATGATAACTAATTTAACACTTTTATTAATTCAATTTCAACCGATATGCGAATCTTCAAGTTTATGTTTTTACGTTATATATACATCATCTTTGTTGATCGTACAAACATCAAAGTATATAAGGTCAAATAGAGATAGTACCAACCTTTTTGGAACCCCCTTTTTTGACGACCAATGCTTTTGAATGGGGACATATGGTTGGAACCCCCCTTTATCCTGGGTTTGAACCCCCTTTTAAAAATGGCTGGATCCGCCTCTGCCGCTGCTCTCCATGATTTTCATTCTGGCCAAGTAAGTAGCCACGATCCTCTAGTGGCATGACACAAGGGTGTATTTTATCTGAATTTTCGCAGTTCATTAGTTATGTAATTGGTGGGGTCTCGGTGGCACAGTGGTCTAAGTATTTCAACTAATGTATGATCACTATCATAGCCTGTCAACACTGAGGTTTTGAGTTCGAACCTAGCACGTGGCAGGTGCAACATGTGCAATCGACTCCTATCTTAATTGACTAGGATTGTCAGTTTTCCTACCGAAGGTCGGTGGTTCTCTTCAGTCGTTACGCCTCCTCCACCCATAAAAAAACTGACCGCCACAAAATGACAATGGTGCTGAAAGTAGCGTTAAACACCAATTACTCAATCAATGAAGTTATGTAATTGCACTAAAACTACAGCTCAATTAATCAACGGTTACCTGGAGGATTTTTTTCTTATCAATTAAAATTTATATATGAGCTCTTTTGGTTTAATGCTTTCAAGAGTCTCGTGTGACTAATATAAGTCTTGAGTAACACGTTTCGATCACAGTAAGATGCGTAGTTGATTATTTCATCGTTTTTTTTTCTAAGTGAGCACCGCTACATGAATACTTTCATTCTCCGAGTGTACAATCCGCCCTGTAGCCGGTTCTTTGGTACTGGCATGATTTGAAAATTATATATTTTGTTTGTAAATTTACCTTTCATAAATTAGATGAATCTACATACCAATTAATTATACCAAGAACTAAATTTTCAGCGCTACTCTAAAGGCAAAGCTCAATTTTGTTCTGTTTAACCCGCCCTTTTAATTGTGTGCTAGCAAACGATATGTCCGTATTTTTCAAACTCTGATCCTGAATGTACACAATTACGGAATTCATTGTGTTATGATTAACAGTTTCCCAGTTATTGTCTTTATATTTCATAAAGTTTAATATTGAAATAATTCTTAACTCCATCGTTAAATCGATTTTATGTATATTTAATACAGTTATATACATCGTTTTTCTTTATTACTATGAAATTCAGAAATTTGATTCTTTAAACCGTGTGTTCGTTTTTGAATATGATTACGTAGCAGTCTGGCTAAGAATCATGCAAAATGATGAAATAGTGATACACAGTCAATCACAGAAATTTACATTCCTTTTTGTATTGAAAGGTCTTGTTAAGCTATTACTGAATTCGTAATTATATTGAGCATGTTAAACCATTAAACACAGTATATTTTTTGTTGGTGCTATATTGAATAAAACTGAGAATGGAAATGGGCAATATGTCAAAGAGACAACAACCCGACCAAAGAGCACACAACAGCCGAAGGCCACCAGTGGGTCTTCAACGCAGCGAGAAAATTGAACGCAGCATGCTTTGAATTGATTAGCAAAATTAAGTACATGTAACATTCTACTTATTCATGTGTCTTCATAAATCTCAAGTTGGATTGTTTTTTAAAGAAGCTGATCAAAAACGGATCAAATTTACCTTAGAAAGTCCATTTTCACAAAATTATTTATGCCTTTGCTTCAAATTTCAATAGACTATCTTTGAAAATTGTATAAAAGCATCATTCACATTAAACTAGTACTAAAAAGTGAATAAGGTTGAGTACAGAAAGCTTATTTATATGATAATTGAGAAAAGAGTGCATAAATATTGTAAAAGACGTTAAGACATGATGAACATTCAAAAAAATT